CCTAGGTCAGATTTTGTTGCTCATTGAGTTCCTGGAATATTGAGAAACCTGGTATTGTTTTGGGTTTTGTAGCATTTTGGATTTCAGAATTGTGATTAAGAGATCGTGGTATCCAGATAATAGTTTGCAGACACAGAGATGGATGTACAAGGCTGTTTGTGGCACTCTTATTGGAAATAAGCCTGCAAAAGCCTGACGTGGCCTCACTAGGAAATTGGTTAAATAGTACCCAATGGAACTCAATTCAGTGAATCATAAAGTGTACTCGGAAGAGGGCAGCAAGATGTATTATTAAGGGATTCATGATATTTGCAGAACAGTGTGAATGTTGTGGTCTTGTTTGAATTTAAAAAATATGTATATGTGCTTGTATATGCATCAAGAAACAAATAGCATAACATCTAGGAATACCCAGGATAGTGGCTATACATGAGAATCACTCAGGGAGATTAAAAAAAAAAAAAAATCAAATGCCTAGGCCCCACCCTAAATCAGTTGAAATAGAAATGCAGGTGGGGGGCAGGTATTTGGTGGTTCATTAATAAAGTGTTGCAGGTGATTTTAACACTTACTGAGGGTTGACAGCATCTGGAGTAGAAAGATACAGACATTGGACAATATCCTTACAGGTATGCGTCACTTAACATTCATGATAAAACCCACTACCATCAAGTTGATTCTGACTTATTGGCACCCTATAGGACAGCCACATAGGGTTTCCAAGGACATAAATCTTTACAGAAGCAGACTGCTTCATCTTCCTCCCTCTAAGCAGGTGGTGGGTTCAAACTGCCAGGCTTTTAGTTAGCAGTCCAGTGCTTTAACCACAGCACCACTAGAGCACCTACGTCCACAATATGTTCCAGGAAGTAGAATGTTATGTGATTTGACCTTGTGCAAGTGCTAGGAGCCGGCTTTGAGTTGTCCTTGATGCTGCTAGAGCTGCTGGTAGAGGCTGGAGGAAGGGCACTGGCTGTAGTGGCCACAGGAGCAGAGTGAGAGGGAGCAGTGAGGCAGGAGCGGAGCTCACTGTTGCACCCACTGAGCAGCAGCAGCCCACATCCTGAAGCCTCCACAGCTGCCATCAGCTGCCACCTGCCCACTGAATAAAGCCCAAGAGCTCATGCCCAGGGCCAAATCCACTGCCTTACCAGCCTATAACCTGTGGTCCAGTGCTGCAAGAATCTGGATTTGGGGTCTTTAAAACCATTAGAGAGAAATAATAAAAAGGAGAGCCACTTTCCTTTTAAAACAAACAAACTAACAAACAAAACTTTATGGAACTGTAGATATATATGCAGTTGGATGTTACCCAAACACATAACTGTATTTATCTTGGGAGTAGGAAGAGGGAGAGTCTTTATTTTCTACTTTTCTGTACTCAGTGGGTTCTTTCCCCCAATTGCATTATTGTTGTTGTTAAGTGCCCTGGAGTTGGACCGACTCATAGCAACCCCTCCTTGGGTTTCTGAGGCGGTATCACTATGGAAGTAGATTCCTCAGCTTTCCTTCCCAGGAGTGACTGGTGGGTTTGAACCGCCCAATTGCATTTAGTACTTTTATATTTTAAAAAGAGTTAAAATAGGTTTTTTTGGGTTTTTTTAAAGCTGATCAAGAACAGCTATAACAGGGTAGTGGAGACACATTTTCTGCAGATCTGTAGAATCCTCTGGAAGTTTACTGTTTCTGAGCATTACTCTTTGGTATGTATAGGGCTTGTGCATATCAACTGGTGATTGAATTAAAAACCTTTTATCTTCTTGCATTCTGGGAGACCAGAAGCAGATGAGTGGGGCACCAGTAGGGGCTGCGTGGACTCATCAGCTCTACAGAAAGTAATTTATTTTAAATGGTTCAACTAAATTGCTGCTTTATCCCATATAGTGTCATGGGAGCTCTGCTGGTGTGGTGCCTAAGGCATTTGACTGCTAACCAGGAGGCTGGCGGCTCCTCAGAAGGAAGATTGGGCAATCTACTTCCATAGTGATACTGCCTCAGAAACCCAAGGAGGGCTCACTATGAGTCGGATCCAACTCGACAGCAGTGGGTTTAGGTTTGTTTTTTTTTTTTTTCAGTAGTACATAACTACTGAGAAAGAGGATACTTCCCAATGAACCATAAATAGGAATAGCATAGAGTCTAAACCAGCTCTGTCAGCTGTTGTATGAAACATTCTCAAGAACTTCATCTTGAAGGTGAGTCCCAGGTGGTTGCAAAGGCCTGTCCCAGGGAATTGGCTTCTCTGCCACTGATGCTGCCTGCTCCTCTTCCTCATTCAGAATGAAAGGGTCTCAGTTCTCAGAGGGAACATTTCTAGCAGTGGCTCCCCCTCCTTCTGACAGGATATTGTTTTATCTCCCTCAGCAACAGCCACTTGGAAAAGTCATACTTTCATTGTTTTTTTTTTTTTTTTTTTTTTTAGGATTTGGGTGAAGATTTACAGAGCAAATTCACTTTTCATACTTCACGTGAAAAGTTCACGTATACTTTGTCTCATGTCATTGACCAAAATTTACAATGCAGCAGCTCCCCTCCCACTTCCTCCCCACAGTTACCTCCTCCAA